GTGGGGGGACGTCTATTTCCCTCTACTGCGCGATAGCGCGCTAGATGCACGCTTTAAGAGTAGTCGCAAACGATATTGTATAAGAGATTTGTATATATTTAGCTAAAATTACACCTATTCTAGGAAACTTGAAGTTGGTGTGAGTGGTATTAGCGGGATAGTTTGTAGTCTTTTCTCGACTTTTCTAACTGAGTCACCTTACATTCACACACGCTCAACCTAACTTATCACTGAATTGATTAGGACCCCAGCAAACTTTTATTTCACTGACAATTTCGAACTCGCACCCAGCCAACGTACAAGTACACGTTTCCAACCGGCCAACAAACTACCCCATCTGCCCCCGAGAAAATGCAAAACCAAAGGACCATCCCAAACTCAAATGCATTCACTCCCCACCCCATCTCTTCCGGAACTTGCAAACAGAAAAGTTCTTTTTTTTTCTTTACCTCCATATATCCCCAACCCCATTCCCTTATTCTCAACCCCGATGTATAGAGCGAGACAATGAGGGTAAATCCTAGTTCACCGGCGTCCCACACTCGTGACAATTCTTGCCCGGAACAACCCAGACGGTGTCGCCGCGTTCGAGACAGGCGGGGCAGCGGCGGCCGGGGACCTAGGTGTTGTATTTAGCATATTCATTTTGGTGGAGAGAGGGAAAATGGGCAAGGGGGAAACGTACAGGCATTGTGGTTATACCTTCTGCGTCGTTCATGCAGGGGATTGAGATGGTGGAGAGGGGGAAGTGCTTGCACATCTTTTCTTCTTTCTATGTTTGGGTTTTTGCGGGGGGGGGGGGTGGTTGGAGGAGGGTTGGTTGAGCGGTTAGGGCGAGGATGGAATCAGTGAGACTGAGGGAATCAAACAGAAGCGGTGGATGCAGATGGTGGTGATGGGGTAGCTGGTTTTATATACTCATGCTTTATAGACTTTGTATAACGGGCTATCTAGAAATAGAAGGATACATGTACAGTGTGTATTGTGGCGTTTTTTTTAGCCGACATGGATACGCAGCTTCCCGGCTTGGGATTGGGATGAGATGTGGAGTTTTCTGAGTTTCTCGTTTGTTCGGGTATCGCAGGTGCGCATGTGCGGGGATGAGGTGGTGGAGCCTGGCTTGCCTTGGTTGACGGGATAAAGTGCTGACGGATGGATGGGTGCGGATTTGTGGTACACAAGTTCTGCTGGTAATGCGAGGCGGATATGTGAGTGTTGTGATCCCTGCTGATTTCCCCTTGAAAAGCCGCTAGATGCTTTCGAATTGAGGTTCCATGCTGTGGCACACCGATGGAGATACTGGTATACGCGGGTGTCACGAAGGGTTAACGGTTCAAGCGGAAATAGTAAAAGTATCAGCTTTGTCCTTGTTCACTGGTATGTCGTCAAGGTTGGTGCGATACAATTGTACCGCGCACTCTGGTCTTTTCTTTCAAACAGGGAAAGATTGCAATGGTTGCACAAGCATATATTAGATCATGCGGATATCAATACACGTACCGTCTGGGCCGTTCTTCTCTCTAGATTCCAAACTCTGTTTCGTTCGGTAAGTGGCCTCATGTATCATTGTACCCGTGTATCTTGATTTCATCGGTGGAGAAATGGGAAAAGCGGGGTGACATCTCATTTGCCAATTACGCTAGTATTCGGTACCAAAGTTGTTAGAATCAGTGATGTACTGAATAGTAACGGTGAAGGCGAAATTGCACGTCGTTTGCGCGGGTGAGGCACGTCGATTCGCCATATCATATCAGGGACCTGTGTTTTGTGCACGACTAGTGGTTCCAAACGCGCTGCCTTTTCGTCTCCGTGCTGTCCAGTATTGCTGATGCAATGGATGCAAGCATAGCAGTGATTAACAAAGGAGGGGAAGAAGCGGCTCGCGGATACTATTGCTCGTTTTCTGCTTTTTGGCACAAACGGCGCTACCCTGGCCCACACATCTCCTCGAGTTCATGGGTAGTAAAGCTTAGGAGAGCTTACTAGTCGTGCAACGTGGTATGTGCACCAAAAGACAGGGACTGTTGCAGCACGGAAAAATTGATATCGATCGATCGGATCGCTGGTACTAGTATTGTGCTACGGGTGTTTGTGTGTGTGTAGTGTGACCCTGCTGCTAGCCGTTCCCCTGGGCGTCTAGTCGGCAGCACTGGGCCGTTTAGTGTAACTACAAGGTGGCGATGGTAGTCGTCGGAGGGACAAGCAACTGTGGGCCGTATTGGTGCTGCTGCTTGATGGGTTTATTGCGATACGCGGATGCAGTGCTATCTTTGCGTGATCTGGTTGTCTTCTAATAAGAGTGATAGAGGGAACACGGTTTCTGTACTATGATACAAGTCAGATACCTATGCTGATGCACTTGGCATTCAAGTAAAGGAAGGAGCACCCTTGGACCCCTCACTGCATTAACATCGCTATCCCAGCACTTAGGTGAGCTAAACCGACGGGAATGAAGATCTACTCAGGTATATTTAGACATTAACCCTTATCTACTCGCACACAATATCTAAGGCAAGCAAAGAGAGTGGTCAGAAACTGGGTTGTTGAACAGATGGATTGATGCCAGATAGTTCGCCCATCTCCCATTCATCTGCTTTCTACATACCCCCTCCCTTGTGCCCTTGGACTAACCCACGAAAAAAAGAAACAAAAACTGGTGCACATGCACTGTGCTGCACTGCACAGCACTCCAACTCTCACCAGGATGAGAGGGTGAGAGTGGCCTACACAAGTGTGTATGTGTGTGTGTGTGTGTGTTGATGTAATGCCTTAAACGCCATAGTATCCAGATATGCTACAGATGCCTTTTGAGCCCGGGAATCAAACTTGGTCATGATCGTCGTAGAGTGTAGTGAAGCGCACGCTGGTGTATGCAGTGGCATTGGACCAGTTCACCACAAATGGTGAGCGGTAACAGGGACAGCACTAAGACTGACTGGCTGTCTGGCGCTCGTGCTGTGTCATGACCCACCGCATCTTGTCGCGCGTCTCGACCATGGCGTCTACCAGCTTCTGAGCCTCGCGCTCCTTTTCTGGCAACGCGCGTCGCAGCCTCTCTGCTTCAGCGATAAGGGCATCCATTTCCTTGCGGTGTTCCTTCTTGTACGCTTCCATAAGGTTGGTAAGCTTGGCTTCGGTTCGGTTGGAGCGGGATGACTCGTGCTGTAGCTGATCGCTTATGATAGCCTGGCGCTTGATCTTATCGGCGTCCTCTAGTCGCTTGCGTCGCAGTTCGTTCAGCTCCTGGTTGATGAGGCGGACCTTGTTCTCGTAGCCGTCGGTGATGCGCTTGAAGCCGTCGCGAGCCGTTTCGAGGTTGGTGTCGGCTAGACCCTTCATTTCATACGCCTGTGCCAGCTGTCGCTGCGTCTCTGACCTAGTGTCACCCAGCATCTTGAGGGCTTCCTCGGCTCTCTGCTCTGCCATCTTGCGCCGGCGGATCTCGGTGTCGAGCGTGGCCCTGAGCTCTTCCAGCTTCCGGTCCTTCCGCTCTATGGCGCGCGCATTTGTGTCAGCGAGGACTTGGAGGTGCTGGTACTCGGCACGCGAGTCTTCAGCTCTGGTTTGGGCGGCGGACACGCGCTTGGCCTCATCTTCTCTGGCCAGCTTCTCGGCAAGCAGTTCTCGGCGCAGGCGGTCGTTTTCTTGGGTGATCTTGTCAATGTACTGTGAAGTCTTTGAGTTTGGCGTGCTGTGGTGATTTGGGCGGGCCCAGGAGTTGTTCTCGTCGGTAGCCATTGGGGCCTTGTCTACGGCGAAGGGACCTGAGACGTTGCGATGTGACGTATACGATGGCATGACAGCCGGGGACTTTGAGCGTAGGGGGGTTGCGTTCGCAGTGCGAAGAGCGTCGTCAGGCCAAGCTGCACCGTTTATGTCATTTCTCTGGAGAACGCGGCTGAAATTGAGTTCGGGCAGATAGGGAACAGAATCTTTGTGGCACAAGTCAGCATAAACGTGGGACAGTGAGCGTCCCGTCGGATAGAGGCGAGGCGGAGGCAGGCAATTGCGGTGTTGAGGCGGCAATGAGAGAGGTGATGGTGGTGTTGACGCTCGTTCCCCGAGATACGCCATGTAGGGCACAGGGCACAGGGCACCACAGCGAACGACAGGGGCCCCACTTCTGGCGCTAAGCCTTACCTGGAACCGCAGTCACCAAGACTCCCTTTTTGCGGCGAAACATGATCCATACTACGCTTCGAGTGCGAATTTCCATCGGCCGTGCCATCTATTTTGTAATCAGTCGGGCCATGTTTGTTGAGAAACACCCTTTCCTCGCCCCAGCACCTCTCTGCCCGCTCATAGGGCGCCTGCATCAATCCACCGCATAGACGGCAATCTCATGGGAGATTGTTGGCGACAAGAAGACAAAAAAGCATATACCCTGTGGCTCCTGGCATTGTCTCGTACCTTTCCCATGGCTTTCTCTGTCTCGTACTTGTGTCTATCTCTGGGTACAATGCGTTGTCTCTGATTCACTTGCGATATCGCTTGTTCCGGTCGGTCTGAAGGGCGAGGTGGGCAATGGCTGAGTGCGATTCTTTTGTCAACCAGACCGTGGGCCAGACAAGACTCATCTATCTTTGTACAAGGCCTGGACTAACTATCTTCAGCTGCCTGCTGTCCTTCCTTCTGGCCTATCTGCCTCTATCTTGATCGCAGAATCATCATGGGCATGCAGGGTGCGCCAATCACCGAGGACCCTCTGGCCAGGTACGGGCCGCTATGGGGCCGGCTCCCCAGCAACAGCCTTACTCCAAGTGACGTGTGCGTGTCCACCCCTATGAAACGCGCCATATCAACCTCTGCAGCAGCGTTTTGCCGTGCTGGAGTTATAGAGTTTACGCTTGCTTGTACCTAGGATACACATGCCATGTCTCTTCTTAGGAATGCTAAACATATATATCCAACCGCCATCTATCCCTTGCAGACGGCCATATCACAATTCCCTTTGTCCCTCAAACAAGACCGATCAAACTCATGCGCCTCATGCTCCTCTTCCAACATACTCCACATTAAACCACCCACGTGGCTCAGCTTCACCGCTAATGAAGCCCAGCCAATGTCTTGCTTACACACAAGACTACACGCGGCAACAGGACCGATCTAAACATGTGCCTGGTGTTTCATCGCGCTGTTCAAACTAGTGACGAAAGATGTTAGACTCACAAGCTGTCTGGCCAGTCTAACATCGGTTCCTTTGCGTCTCAGACACAATGCCATTGCGCAGACATGCATCCGACGACAGATGACGAGGACTAGTCTTTCACCACCCTGCCTTGTGTGTTGTCTCATTGTCTCATTACAGTGACTTGGCCACACCTTCACATGCTATTCAGTACCTTCGACCCAATCACCTGGGGAAGCGCGTAACAAGTTAAAGGCGGATATCAATTTCCCCCGGCTATGTACACTGCCTATGAAACAAACTCCAGACCTACATGACAGAGTCTAAAACATATCGGGAGCCTTCTTCACCCGCATCTTGCCCTCGAATGGCTTCTCCGAAGAAATGTCGTTGTTCCTCAGCTTCTCCAGCTTCCGCTCATTCTCTTCATAGGCTAGTTTCTTGTACTTTTCAATCACCTTGTCCATTTGGACCTGGCTTCCAGCAGGCACATTGTACGGAGATCCCACGTTCATGATCCTGCCAATTGTTAGCATTTACCTCTCTTTACAATCATAAATCCTGTATTTTTATGTCCAACTCCATTCGTCCCTAACATCGCATATTCTCCAATGTGCCAGGACAAGACGTAC